CTAAATTGTTGTAATTCTTTAACAGATCATTATACAGCCTATTTTCGTGATGGTCAGCAGTTGCACAGTGAATATAGAACAGAATTTGAGTGACAACAGAAAACTGCAGTTGCATTCGAACTGCTCTGAACCACTGTCGTTGCTACATCAATTGTACTATCTAGCGTTATGTTTTTCTTTGTTTAATTCAATCTGCAAGCAACTGTGTTTAACTGAGGTATTGTTGGTGCTAATATTGCTGTGCTAATGTATTTTACAATAAATTTAGTTCAACTATTTCACTAATAAATATAAAAGTTTGACACTTATTAAACAACGTAATAAATGCTAAAAGAAAAAACTTAACGATGAAATTCAAAATAAATACGAAAAAAAAGGTCAAGTTAATTTTTAGCATCTTCTTTTTTTGATCTTGATATAAAGAATGAATATAATCAAGCAATGATAAACATGTTGTACTCAGATAATCTTTGATTTTCAATTACAAACGAAAGCAGCAGTTGAATGTCCGGCTAGCACGGCAACCACATGAAACACATTATTTTGGATCAGTTTTGGATGAAAAATTTTGTCTTCTTACCACTTATTTTATAAGCGCTCTGGCGAGATTTTCTTTTTGTAATTTCTCAAGAGTTTATGTTGATATTTGCACCAAATTTTTAAAAACAGTTGTTTTGAAACGTAGCAAAACTGTTAATGCAAAAATGATAATTGCATACTTTTCAGTCACCGTAAACCAAGTTGGACTTTAGAGGAAGCTGCTTGGAAAAAATTTTTAAGGTTTCAATTAAAGAACACCAAATTTTTGTTCTTGCATTGACTGAAAAAATACAGAATATTCAAGCAAAATTACTAGGTAAACTGAATGGCTGAACATAGTTGGTCTTGTTAAAACAATAGATTAGCAACAGGCTTTTATAAACCAAAAATTCTTGACCCTCAAAATGGTTACTAAATCCAAAATTAATCATTATGTAAAAGATAAAAGACCAAAAAAGATAGGTTTTTATATAAGACCTGTATAAAGCATACTCCGATGTAAGAACATTGATGGCTAGGAACACCTATGAAAATTGTTGCGTATTTCATACGGCAAAATATCGGCTTAAAACCAATATCAACCGGAACAGAAATAAAAAAAATTTAGGAAGAATATTGCTCTGAAAGAAAAAGACTATTTCTACATAAGCTATTCAAAAGACAAAGAAGTCTTCAACAGAAAAAATATAAGGAAATGATTAAGAAAACAACGTCCGCTTAACCGTTAGTTGCCCTTGAGTAGTTATGGGTGTAAAAAAGCTTTCATCCGAATAACGCCTTGCGAAATCGGATTCCAAAAGTTTAAACACCCAACGATTAGATCAGCTGAGGTTTTTCTTTATTTCATACAAAAAAAGAATGTTTAGAGAATAAGAATTTTTATTTTAAAGTCTAAATTTTTTTTTGTTTGAAACAACTCTCAGTTGAGACACAGAATAAAAAAAGAGTTAGCGTTTGTTGTCGAACGACATAAGCTTCGTATTCCCTCTCTCCCTCCATAGAAGCTTCTTTTTTCCCAATCTTTATACTGTCGTCCAAACAGTGTGCTTTACAGTTGTCATTACGTCCATCATCAGTCAACTGAACATCAACTAACTAGTTAAAGTTTACTGTACCAAATTTAGGTGAATAGAATGATTAAATACATACACATATACAAAAAAAACCCATTAAACTTTTGATTTCATCTGTAATTATAGCTCAGTAAAATATTGACAGCCATTGGTTCAGCAACAATGATCTTTAGAAAGGAGTTTTAGGAAAAGTCATCGAAATATTTCCAGAAATAATCAGTCAAAATGATAGTAGTGGAATACAGATTCCTTCAAGAGAGAACGAGAGAGGAAAGACAAACCACAAGAGTTATGTAAATATGCTATAGTGTTGTTGACGATAATTGCCACCTTAAAGTTTTGCAGTAGAATTTCTCAAAAGAGCGTTTTACATTCAAGTCGTGTGGCACTTCACGATAAAACGTTTGCAATTTTGCTATTTTTGGCAACTGTTTTTTACATAGCACACAATTTCATCTTCATTATCATAGTTTTTTTT